AGAAATTCATTGACAGGGCTGGGAGGTATTCCGCTGTTTGGAGAGACACCTAGAGATTCTAAATGTTTCTGAAATATTTTCTTACTAGCTCGATACCCATGCTTCACTATGAAACTATGTGGTTGGGCTTAGTTTTGTGGGAGGAAAATAAGGGGAAAAAATTCTGCCTCTGCCTACCAGCATCTATTGGTATTCATCTGGCTAGCGTCCTGTTTGGAAACTGAAACAGTATTTGCTGTGTGAGCAAAAAGAAGATAGCAAGGAGCCTGGGTGTGGCTTAGCTCAACTGTTCTGTACTAAAGCTAGTTGGTGCTATGAAACTAAAACTGAAACTCCTCTCTTCTGCTTGTATTTTGCATTTGGAACAGATTTCTTTTCAGGTGGGGAGGGGGAGTAGAACTCCTTAGCAACAGAGTGTGTTAATAATAATATAGGAAATACTAATGCTCTGATGGTCATTTCGAAAAATCCTTTCTTAGTGAGCACCTAGAAGCCAAGAGGAACATACGTGCCAAATTTCAAGTTTGTAGGCTTTACAGTTCTGGAGATTTTGTGATGATGTGTGAGTGGTATTACACTTATATATATATATATATATAGATTTACAACTATAGAATATTTTGGAAGCAGATTTATCAGAGTGAATTCTTCCCAGTTGTCTACCTGAAGTCATCTTCTGTTGGAGGATTTTAAACCAGACTGCCTGAGTCTTACTAAACATAAATAACCCTGTGAAGAGAAACTAAGTTCCTTGAAACTTCCCACCGATGATTTGTTACCTGAAAATAGTCTAGGAAGATAGTCCCAATCTAACTTCACTTTTATTTCAGTGGAAATTACAATAATTGTTTCTGAATGTATATCTATTCAAATAACTTCATTATGAAAATGAAACCAGTTTCTTTTTCGTCTTCTTTCTTTGGTCAGCATTATCTATAAGTTGGCCAATGAACTCTTGTCAGAAAAAAAAAGGAAGGGAGGAGTAGAAGGAATGATTAAATGGGCAATCCCAGAATTGTGATCAAACCGGCCCCCAAACAATTGCATGTCATAAGGAATAGCTTATCTCCTTTTTAATTTTGTGTTGGTTAAGCAAAAGAAGCAATCTAGCTCTCTCCATTCCACAGAAAAGAGCCAGACTTATTCTACTGAATACACAGCCTATCCTGGTTTTGGTGTTATCTTCAGAAGCATGTCCGATCTGAAGTTATCTTCTTGCCAAGCTGTGGGCTATTTTATATTAGCCTAGAGTTGTAACAGTGGTGATAGGAAATGTCACAGGAGACTGATATGAAGTTGAGGAAACATTTGGGTTTTGGTTTTTTTTTTTTTTTTGGGGGGGGGGGAAGGTTAACTGACTGAGGAATTCTAGGAATTGAAGTCCACACATCTTAAAATTGCCAAGGCTGGGAAACTCTATATGCATATTTCGTGACTCAGGATAGAAGGCTTGTATATTTCCTAGTTCAAAATATGTGATGCTGATTATTTCTTTATTTGTTGGAGGACGGTCAGGCACAGCTCTGGGACTTCCAGCTGGTCACTTTTGTAGCAACCAGTGAATTCAACCTGAAATCATGTAATGCATGTAAGGGACAAGGAGACAGAAAAATGGATCATTTAAGAAATAATTATGTATTCTGAGTTTTGAGGTAGAACTCAAAAGAGGAAGCCTAAATCTCTTAGCTAGATGCTTGTAAGCTTTTTCAGAAGAAGCAAGATTTTATTCCGCCCCCCCAAAATCAATTTAATGTGATCATAAACAGATAGCATTTCAAGTTAGGGTGAAAAATAGTGAAAAGGGTAAGAAAAAGTGTTATATCTTCCTTTGTAATGATATTTTTTTTACTTGTTCCTTAATGTACAATACAAAGTGTCCTCAACCTCCTTGCTGGTTGACAATTGGGGCCATTGACTCCATCACTAAGTGAAACATCACGTGACCACAGCCAGCTTTAAGACCTCATTTCTGGTCCAATTATTCAGCAAGCGATTGCAGGTCATTAAGTGAGATGTTATGTGATCATGACTTGTGATTTTACTGCCGGCTTCTCCTTTGACTCTACTTCTTCGAAACTGGTTCTGAAACACGCAAATGAAAACCATGTGAATGTAGGGTGCTGTGGTAATTGTAAATTCCTGCTGGTTATGAAGCATCTAATTGTCGTTCACACGATGGCAGGGAGTCTGCCACAGTCTTAAGTACAAGGACTGGTGGTGCCAATGGTGCGATTTGCCAATTCTCTGAACTGCGCAAAATTGTAAAAAATGGTTTGCCTGAACTGGTCCGAACCAGCTGAATCCCACCCCTGCTGATCTCCCTTCCTACCCTGTTTCTCCAACAATACGGCCTCCCCCCGTAGGAAGTCCCAGCATGTTTTATAGGCATGAAATTAATTTAAGCCCCTCCCCCCAAATTAAGGCCTATATTAAAACATGCAAAATGGGGGGGGGGATGGTGGGGGGTCTTGCCATTAGGAAGTACTTTTGTTGCACACCTGGATATGGTGCTGCCTGCGTTGACCCCGATATGAAGTGCCCCACCAATGCCGAGGTCAACATCCAAGCCGTCGCCGCCTGCCCGAAGATGCAAAGGGGGGGAATTAAGTCACCCCCGAAAAGACGGCCTAGCCATTTTTTCGGGGCTCAAAAAAAAAATAAGACCCGGCCTTATTATATGAGAAACACGGTAGCTTTTTCTTATAATCCTCCAGCATGCCTGAACCTTGTAGAAGAGGAATCCTGGAAGCTATTTTTAGGGCTTGGTATGCTGAGAGATGGAGCAACGAAAAACAGAACAGTATGAAAATGTAGAACTAACTCTACCAAAGTTGATATGGCTGAAGCATGTTCTCACTTATTGAAGGTATTAATGCATCTGAGGTTCTCCCATAATGATACATACAGGTTGTTCTAGGATTTATGATCACAATTGAATCCCAAATCTCTGTTGCTAAGTGAGACAGTTAAGTGAGTTTTGCTTCATTTTACAACCTTTCTTGCCACCATTGTTAAGTGAGTCACTGCAGTTGTTCACTTAGTAACACAGTGTGTTAAGTGAATCTGGCTTCCCCACTGACTTGATCAGGTCGCAAAAGGGGATCACAGGGCCCCGGGGCATTGCAACCGTCACAAATATGAGACAGTTGCCAAGAGTATGAATGTTGATCACGTGACCATGGAGATGCTACAAAGATTGCAAGTGTGCAAATGGTCATAAGTCCCTTTTTTCAGGGCCGTTGTAACTTGTATAAGTCAAGGACTACCTGTACTGACCTTACCAGAGTACAGTACATTCTGCACCACCCCCCCCATACACACACTTAAGACTTAGGATAATTTTAAAAGGGGCTTTGATTATAAAGTGAAGTCATGCAATGAGTTTTTACCTATTTATATTTCTATGACTTTTAATGTCTGCAACTAATCAATTGGTTTATAATTAGCTATAGCCTGCACTTGCGGTCACTGAACGTAACATATAAGAATTAAAAGTCTTATTTGCTTTAGCAATGTGAGCTTGACGATGTAACTCTTTGCAATCTTGGTGCTGAAAATAATAAAGCCATATGCATAACTGCCGTGTGTGTTTCATAAATGAGACAGTGCTGCTTTAAACTATGAAATTAAGTACTGCTTCACAGAATGGGATGCCAATGCCCTGTAGCAGCTTCTAACAAAAACCAATATTAAGCCATTGATTCTCTCATGCTTTCTAGTAGGTATTTACATTACTGGATTTTGATCTGTCTACCTACCCGTCCACCCACCTTTCTATTATTATACAGTAGTGGCCAAAATTGTAGAAACCTTTTAGGAAAAGTGTCTCCTTATGTATTTTATGCCATCACTACCAAACAGGGAGATTTTGGTCTCATCACTCCAAATAACACTGTCCCTTGTTCCTCTGTCCAGGTAACATGGGTTTTAGCCCAATCTAGTCTTTTCCACCTTTGTTTGAGAGATAAAAGTGCCTTTTTTTCCACGGAATTCTAGATTTTAGGCCAAATTCCTGCAGTCTGCGCCAAACAGTCCTTGTACTCAACTTCACATTGTATTGCGTCATTTCATCTTGTATACACCCAGATGATTTTCTTTTGTCACGTAGGCACAGTCTCTTAATTCTTCTATCATCGTTTGCTGTTGTGTACCTTTTCCTGCCTTTACCAGTGTGATTTTGTAGTGACCAAGTCTCCTTATCCAGTACCTCTTCAAAAACTTAGAAATGCCACCCTTGGTTAAGTTTCCACCCATTTTTCTTCTAATTTCTTTATAACCGTGGCCTTGTTCTCTTAATAATACTATTTTACATCACTTTCTGGGCAACCAAACTCTTTGCACCATTACTTTAATTTTATTACAATTTACATGCTCACTAAAGAACACAAAAACCCCCAACCAACTTGATAGCGATCACATAACACAGTGACAAATGTCCTCCTCTCAGCTTCAGTACATGACATCAATAACTAAATCCTACTGTGATCTGATTGGCTCATTGCCAAAACAAGATGACACCTGATTGGCTCTCTAAACACTCATGCTCATTGGCTACAATCAGATGAAGGAAGGTTACTTGATATCAACCTAAGCAAGTTGTGCTTACTTTTTCTGGCTATTTGGCTATAACTTTTCATAAAATACATATAATTGAACAAACTTTGTTGCATTACCTTCTTGATTAAATTATCTTTCCATTGATATATAATTTTATGGTACTACTCCAAAAAAGTGGTGTTATTAGCCATCAAAAATACACTTTTCCCAAAAGGTTTCCACAATTTTGGTCACTACTATAAATGGTTGAAGGGGAGGGTTTTTCTCTTAATAAAAAAAGTCATATTTTTTAATTGGTCTAGGTCAGGAGTGTTAAACTCACGTTGTCATGGCAGCATCATGTGATATATCGGGACTTCCCCCCCCCTCCTCGCGAACCGGGCATGGACATTGCCAGCATGTGACTCATCCGGCCCGTGGGCCAGGAGTTTGACAGCCCTGGTCTAGGTACTTGAACAACACAAAAGAAAGGAAAAATATTTTTTTTCTTCTGTTGGCTTTAGAGATGGATGACTACTATTCATACAAAAAATGTGCTTTCACTTTATCCTATTATTTAGCACGGTAAGCAATAATGAAGACAGAATCAAAATTAATACCTTTAAAACAAACTTGATGCTGTGTTATTTGTATCTAACCACACCCTGCTAACCCTGGAGTTGCAATCTACTGAAATCTGAACAAATAGTAACATGAATCAGATAACTAAAAAAAAAACAACCCACCACCACCACACACACAAAAAACACAACCTCTGAAGGGTTCACCAGGAACAAACAACCGGTGGATGAAGCTCAGAGACATGCATACTTGGTGCACTGTAAATTATCCAATTCTGTTTAAAATCCCATACATACACTATGGGCAATTTGGAAAAAAGGCAGATTCAACCAAATTTTCTGATTATAGGTGACCGAGATAAAAGAACAATTAGAATCAATTACCCTAGGAAGATCTTCTTAGTTATAGACCCAAGCTTCACAGCGGCTTCCAGAGGATTAAAAAAATATATACAATGCTCCTATTTCTTTCTCTCTTTTTTTCCATTAATTTAAATGTAAAGGCAATTTGTTTGTTCAAGCATGATTGATAGTATAAATAAGGGGGGAAAGCCCTTATTTGCTGGAAAATTATTGTAATTTTCAGTTGAGTTTGTACCTAATATACTTTCAAACAATCATGAAATCCAGATCAGAACAAGCACTAACACCACTGAAATCAGGTAGCAAAAAAAAAAAAGAAAAAGAAAAAAAGTTTATGTATTAAATATCAGCAAACATCAAAAACAGTTAACTAGCAAAATGAGACAAAAAGCAGGCATGAGAAACAGGCAAGAATTTACATTATCTTATCTGTTTAGCTAACTTCTATCAGAAGGCAAGTTTCAGGGCCACTGGAAACAATAGTATAGAGATAATTAGTGTGGCCTTTTGTTACTCCACTTTTAACCCTTTTATGTACATAATGGCAGCACAACAGAGATTGAAATAGGACACCAGGTGAGCTTTTCCTCTATTCCATACCATTAAAGACACAATTTGGTGGACAGGGCTGATGCATCCCACATTATTTCTATTATTGCTAATAGAAATGGAACATTATTGCTCCAGAAATTAGCATAACCCTCAAAGGAAGTAGCCTCTGGTTGTTCAATTTTTGTCTTAATTTTGCTAGATTTCTATTTTAATAACTGATGATGATTGATATGTTATGGATACTTAATTTTTTTTCTGTGGCTTCCAGTTAAGAAACAGTAGAAACACATGGATTTAAAATAAAGTAGTAAACAAATTTATGCAATGCATCCTGAGATTATTGGACTAGAAAAGGCTTAAGCATCAGTCTGTTTTGCAGAGAATTGTTGAATCTCTTCATGCATAGGTTATTTATTAGCTGGCATAACAGACAAGAAAATTGGAAAACAAAAGAAACAGTGGGTCTGTTTGTAGATTATTGTTCATGGTTTGGAAACATGAGGGGATTGTGGCTATCTGATTGCTCATCATCAAAGAAAGCTAGGAAAAACACTTTTTATATTCCCTTTTGTCAACAAAGCAAATCAGAGACTGCAGGAAATACAGTGAGCAGATTGCATCTGAATCTACCATGACTATTATTGGCTGCTTACTTGGGGCAATAGGGTGGACAGATGGAAGTTTATTTTTGGCAGTGTGCTTATTTTTTTGATATCAGTCAGATCAGAAGCACAATGCTGATCCAAACCAAGAAGTTAGGTTAATTATTATTTTTTTAGCATAAAGAGTTTGACCAAGTTTTAATTGTGATATTTGACTGTCAGTTTACCTTCAAGAGCATAGGCAACCTTCTACAGTATAGCTAAAACAATGTTTCTCAAACTTGGCAATTTTAAGATGTGTTGACTCCAACTCCCAGAATCCCTCAGCCAGTACACTAACTGCTAGGGAATTCTGGGAGTTGGAGTCCACACATCTTAGATGTCAACTTTGAGAAACACTGAGCTAAAGCTTCAGTGACAGAATGATCACTTGAAACCCAAAGAGCAGGGGTGGGATTAAAAAATCCCAAACAACCGGTTCTCTGCCCGGTTGCTGGGTGGGCGTGGCCATGGTAGGCATGGCCTACTGGAACTTCCGGGAGGGCCGTTTTTCACCAGAGGCTACCCTTGGGCCTCTGGGAGGGTGGAAACAGCGTCCCCCTGGCTCTGGAGGCCCTTCAGAAGCCAGTAACAGGCCTGTTTCCAGACTTCTGGAATTTCCAAAAGGGTCATTTTTTGCCCTATCAGAGCCTCCATGCAGACCCTGCACTTACCTGCATCCAAAACAGGCCACATGCAGACTCCTGGGAGGGGCGGGATGGAATGGGCGGGGCCAGCCGGTCGGTTCAACTACCAATTTAGCGAACCAGATGTAAATTTAATATCCGGTTTACCTGAACCAGCCTGAACCAGCTGAATCCCACCCCTGCCAAAGAGATTCCTCAACTGTGAATTTATCTCTATAACCAAAGGAAAGCAGGAAGTGACTTACTCTCAGCAATCTTTGTGATTGGTATGGCTGAACAGACCCAAGAATTATTAGTCTCTAGCAAGCAGCAACTTACAAGGGCAGCTGTTTCTGGAACATAAAAAATAAACTAATAAAAAAGGAGGAGAAGACTGTGCCAGGAGTCAAAACAACAGGAGCAAGAAATCTAAATGATTCTCCATTTTCCTTTAGGTTTATAATCTGCTTGTATTAAGAAGGATTATCCCAGACTTCTGCAAAATTCCTTTTTCCCCTTTCTGTTTTTTTTTTTTTTGCAGGCAAAAATGGCTACCTAGTCCTCTTTTACCAAAACTGGTTATCTAATGGCTCATCTGTTGTTTTTGTCTTCTCTTTTTATTAACTTTGCAGAGAGAGCATCAAATCAGAAATAGTCTTACTGTTTTCTCCCCTGCTAATTAGAAATGCTCCCTGAGATTCCTTGAAAGGGAAATTCTGTAAGTATAGACAGAAGCTTCCTCCACCTTCCCTGGAAATAATAGCAGCTTGAGGAATTGCATGACTTATTGTTGTGAGGGATGTTGTTGATTGTTACGTTCTTGTCCCTCAGCCACCACCTTTTGGTGGTCAGTTTGGAGGAAAAGCAACTGAAATGCCTTTAAATTCCTGCTTCCCTTCTAGTTCTGGATTTCTCACATATAAGACTGTATCGTATAGTATAGCACAACACATTGCCATACTGCTCGGAGCCTTGAATATGCAACATAAACAAGTCAAGGAAATGGCCTGGAGGAACATTCTTGGCATGTTTCCTCAGTATCTTAAAATGTTTATTCTCCCTGTCAGGCTGGGATGTGGTGCCTAGCCTTTTAAAACTTTGGAAGCTGCCTGAGATCTTTACCCAGGCAGTTAGTTAAAATGCTAAAATATGGTGTGTGGAGATTTCTCTTGCTTTCTTACTATTGTGAATGTTCTTGGGACTCATACTATCCCTCATTAAAGCTGAGCAAATTCTTGCTGGCTACGATCCCCAAATATGGTCTCTTAACTTTGCTTAACACAGAGTTAAGTATGTGTTTTTGCTTCACCCTTGTGGAATTTGCAAAAGCCTTAAATAATATTCCTGAGGGAAAGGAGCTGCTTGAATCATCTACAGGGAAGGTGATCTATCTAAGCATTTTTTGCTGCTTGACAGAATGAATGAGCTTCTGCAGGCAGCTGGTTTTTAATACAAGCCTTTTTATTTGTAGTTTGAAAGGGCTGCAAACTGGTCATTATATAACTGGATTTTACTACTGGAAAGGGGAAAATGCTTTCTGTATACAGTAAATGGTCACTGCCAAAATAAATTGGCTTGCTTTGGCTGATAGGCTACTTGATCATGAAAGAAAGTCCATTTGCTGCTCCACCTGAGCAATATTAATTTGTAAGAGAAAAATCCTTTAAATAACTCACCTTCAACTTCCAAGCAATTGGCCCTGATAGATGCTATACAAGCAGCAACCAAGGGTAGAAATGCATGTGGTAATTGTATGATGATGGCAGCAACCACCAGAGACCTCCATTTTACTTTTCTTGTCCTGAGACACAAACCTGGACACAATGAAGGTGTCAGGATTCCAGCAATCGCTCTAATTAAATAATGATTCTCAAGCCAAACTTCAAAAAAACTTCAAAGGATTCATTAGAGGCGACATACTGGCACTGCCCTGTATAAAGCTAACTCTGGCACATGTAATTTACAGTCACCTGCGACTCTGTTTCCCCCCTGCCCCCTGGGTGTCTTATAAACCAGATTCTCCAATTGAGTACTCTCACAGGCTAAGTGTCATTCACATTCTCCAATTAAATACAGTATATTTGTGGGCAAAAACTCTGGTATTTTAGTTACAATCTTTTAAAGATAAGAGTTGGACTGTACTTTCACTTTCAACTGTTCTTCCAGATTTTCTTCCTCTCCCCCCTTTTTAAATGGCAACTACTAAAACAGGCATAGTATTGTTTTATGAGTCGAAAGAAGGATTTTTGTGTTGCCTGGTACTTTATTTGGGATGGAAGCATCACAGGAGCATAAACGTCTTCCTTGGTGGAAGATTTACGTTACTGATAGTCCTCGGTTTAGGACAATTGATCCCCAAATTTCTATTGCTAAGTAAGACAGTTGTTAAGTGAGACAGTTATTAAGTGACTTTTGCTCCATTTTATGACCTTTCTTGCCACAGTTGTTAGGTGAATCAGTGCTGTTGTTAAGTTAATAACACGGTTGCAAAGCAAATCTGGTTTCCCCATTGACTTTGCTTGTCAGAAGATCGCAAAAAGTGATCACATGAGGCCGGGACACTGCAACCCTCATAAATATGAACCAATTACTAAGCATCCAAATTTTGATCATATGACCATGGGGAGGCTGCAATGGCTGTAAATGTGAAAAACAGGTCATAAGTCACTTTTCTTAGTGCTACTGAAACTTTGAATGGTCACTAAACAAATGGTTGTGTAGCTGTTTGAGGATCCACTGTCAGCCTATAAGTTATGGGGAGCTATTATACACAAAATAAGAAATCAGACATACAGCCATTGGTATCTATTAAGAAGGGGACCTCTAACTAAAAAGCTCAAATTATTTCTCAACCTGTGGAAAACCTGGGAGAGAAAATACTTCTTGGGATGACCCAGGGTAGAATACAAAATAAACACAGTCACAAAAAACAGGTGAAGCCCCTTTTATTCCTTCACTTTGCTTCCAAGCTCCAAATATCCTTGATTGGAGACAAAAAAAAACTCCCACACAAGCAGTTACAAGAAGGAGGAAATGCCGTTTAAATTATAAAGAGTAAAAAACAACACGAACCAGGCAAGATAAGGGCTTGAAGATGTCCACAGATATCAGAACACACTGGGAAGGACGCCAAACTCAGAGAGGAACAATAAACTAGAGATATTTCTATGCTTTGTTTCCAGCACTTGCCCGTACGCATGTCCGTCCTCTTATCCAGTTGTCATAGCTGCAGCCCATGAAGAGGATCAAGGGCCTCTCCTCCCCAGTAGACCACGTCTCTCCCTTATCCTTTCTTCCCTGCGTGCCTTAGGATGGAGAGGGGATGGGCCTGGGTGCTCCTCTGACTGCCCAGCTAGCCTCTGCCCTTCCCTAGCCTCCTCCACAACCTCCGCAGCCAAACTTCCATTCCCTATCGGCTGTTCCTCCTCTCCCTCAGAGTCATGACAGTTCTCTTTTCCACAGGTTAATATCCAACTTGAGCTTGGATTGCTTCTCGACAGGGGAAAGCAGAAATAGATCATAGCATTTTGCTGACATTGCCAGTCAGTCTATAATACATGTTGATTTCTTCAGCAGATTTTATGGCATGCAATCATATCTGATCAGTGCAACTGATACAACTTTAGAAACTGTTATCTTTTAAAAGAAAAGCCACTATCTTTATGTATCTGTCTATTCCAAAGATCATTACTGTAAGGAAAAGGCTTTTGCCCATTACTTCTGGATTGTTACTCCCTCGTTCCAACATATAGAAGCTAAAAATGAAGTAATTATACTGGAATTCATGTTCAGGAGAGACGTACTGAGTTATGAAGTGTGATGACAAATTGTTAGAACCGATAAACTATTTCTTAAGTTCTGTAAAAAATTTAAGAAATTAGCACTTCTGTAGAATATAGGTAAACATACAGGATTCAATTATTTTTTTCCTAATATGTAGCCCTTTAAAAATATAGTCAATCTTTCTGATACTTTTCTTACACCAAGTATAAAAAAAATTCTGGCTCCATTAGTCATTTGATCAAGTATTTTCAAAAATATTGTTAAAAATATAAACCCAGCTCCACTGATCCTTTTCTCAACAGCATACACTGTAAAATAGAAGTTTAACTAAATTTAAGCAAGAATGCTTTTCCATATAGACAATACATCATCCAGCTTGGCAAATACCAGTATAATTATTTATAATCATGAATATCAAATGTAATCAGTTATAATAATGATATAATGAAATATAATAATTTATAATCATATTTATAATCATATAATCAAATATAATCATTTATAATCATGGCAAATATAATCATAGGTTTCTAAGGGAGCCCAAAAATTATAGACAATGTAAATAAGCAGATACACAAAAAGAGAGAAATTAGAAACCTAATAATCTTTTTCCTTTATTTTTGGTATTTTGTTAAATTTGCTTTTTTATTTTTTCCTTTATCAACATGTACATAAAACATTAACAATACAATGGATACCTTAACATTAATTAATTGGCTGAAGACCAAAACCTTTATTGTATAATACATACTTTGATGCAAAAGATGTTGTATTCAATTCTGGATTTAAAAAAATACGATCCTGACATACAAAACTGTAATTAACATTGTCATGATAACTCTTTTTTTATCCTCAATAGTCTAAGTTATCTCAAGATTAAATTGTTAATAATCATCAATAAATACTGTACAAACACCACTGTATCAAAAAAATATAATGTGTTAACAATACTTTAAAAAATAATAGTGCAGAAAAAATGGAGAACCCCTGTGTTAGCAATTCAAATTCGATTATGAAAAGCAAAATATTTATTTCCTATACCAGGGGTCTCCAACCTTGGCAACTTTAAGACTTGTGGACTTCAACTCCCAGAGTTCCTCAACAAGCTTTGCTGGCTGAGGAACTCTGGGAGTTGAAGTCCATAAGTCTTAAAATTGCCAAGGTTGGAGACCCCTGTCCTATACAACCCTAACATCAGTATAGTTTATTTTATTTAAGAAGGGGTCATACAAAATAATGTATCAGAGGGTCTTTTCTTGAACTGTTAATAATTAATGGGTAAATCTTACAAAACAGCATTAGCCCCCTCCTTTCAGAAAATAGCATCAAATAGATGAAAAATATCACCCATCGTAAAAATATTATGTATAGGTGTATAGTTAATGTTACTATAACGCGAAGTTGATTCACAAATACTTGTTTATCACTATTTGCCTATAACATCAATGGAGGACTTCAAATACAGTATCTAAATGACTCATTTCGGATCCAATTACCTCAGAAGGAATTTTGCACTATCCCAAAGACAAATACGGTATTTTCAATAGTATCTGCTCTCTAGTATTAGTCAGAGGAATGACTTTAAGTGAAAATTTCTGAATTGGGGGGGGGGGGTGTTGTTAATCAAATATTGCATCAAAAACTTTTCCTTATCTTCCTAAAATAATAATACTGCACAAATCACTTGTCTAATATTTATCTGCAGCACTTCTGACCGAAATGTGAAAACAAATATAAATTTATGTGAAAACATAAATTTGGTCTCTGATTGCCTCCCATTCTTGCTTGAGAAGAAAGCAATCCAGGAAGGTGTTTATCATCTACATTTCTTAGTTTATAAACCTACTGTATTTTCAGTACAATTCAGTACTTTCCACATGTAACATACTTTAGCATCTGTAAACCAAAGTGTAATCTGGTTACCTGTAGTTCATCATATCTGGAGAGTATACCAGATTGGGGACTATTGTTTTATTGTTGACCAAGCTTTAGGCTAGTGTTTCTCAACCTCAATGCGTGCACCTCAATTTCCAACATTGCTGGCTGGGGAATTCTGGGAGTTGAAGTTTATACTTCTTAAAGTGAGAAACACTGCTTTAAATTAATTCTTCAATTTTTTTTAGTTAAGGGATATCTACCAAGGAAAAGCAGCTTGACACTAGGCTTGCTTGCAATAGTTCTAACACGGGTAGTCCTTGACTTATAACAGTCCATTTAGTGACCAAAGTTACAACAGCACTGAAAAAGTGACTTATGACTGTTTTCACACTTATGACCATTGCAGCATCCACATGGTCACATGATCAAAATTCAGATGCTTGGCAAGTGATATTTAGGAGGGTTGCAGTGTCCTGGGGTCATGTGATCACCTTTTGTGACCTTTTGCCAAGCAAAGTCAATAAGGATCCAGTTTCAGTTAACAACCGAGTGCAATGATTCATTCACAGGACTTAAGAACTGTGACAAGAAAAGTTGTAAAATGAGGCAAACTCACTTAACAAACATTTTACTTAGCAACATAAATTTTGGGCACAATTGTGGTTTGTAACTCAAGGACTACTTATCTTCAAAGTTAGCATTAGTGGTGAGGTAATCATAGTACACATCCATGGAGAAGAGTGATAGTAATAAGACTTGTGAAGTTGAAGGAAGAATACTCTCTGAAATAACTTAATCAGTAGTTTATGTTGTGATCCCTGATGGTTGTCTATGTAGGTACATGAAAGGCTGTAAAAGTATATTTATTTATTTATTGAATTTATACTCCTGCCTATTTGCCCATGGCAACTCTAGGTGGCTTACAGAATGTAAAACCATATTTAAAATAAAAAACAGTAAAAACTAACTAAAAAGAATCAAATAAATTAATAAAGTACAACAGAACAAAATCTGGGAAAAAAATAAAAAAAAACCACCCCCAACTCCCACCTCCCGCCCTAACAACAGCGGATGATATGAGTCATTTGATGGGCTCTATCCTGCTCAGGGTTCCCCAGGCCTGCTGGCACAACCAAGTCTTCAGTGCCTTCTGGAAGAGTATTAGTGAGGGGGTCATTCTAATCTCTGGGTGAATGATGTTCCCGAGAGAGGGAACCACCATGGAGAAGGCCCTTCTGGATCCCACCATGTGTATCGCCCTCAGGGATGGGACCTGCAGCTTCCCCGCTCTAATGGGTCAGGTAGGTGACCAGTAAGAGATGTTCCCTCAGATAACCTGAAGCCATGAAAGGCTTTAAAGGTGACAACCAGCACCTTGAATATGCAGAAGTTAACCATGAAGTTGTTCACATGTTGTCACTTACCATTTGAGCACCCCATCCCAAATCCATGTTAATCTTGAAAATTAAAAAAGTTCCCCATTCTTATCTTTATGAAAGAAAATGGAAAATATAATCCAAGGTTATTGTTTTATACTATGGCCTGTATATGAAATTTTATGGAAACTCTGCTGTACAGCAATAAGGGGGTTATAAACTCAGAGGCAATTCATCACGTGGATTAGACAAGTACACAAATCAGATATGAGTTCTGAGTGAACTATGATAAATGACTCAAACAGGCCCGGTGAAGTCACTGCAAGCACGCATCTCATCAGTATGGACTGATGCAAGCAATACCAATTATGTCAAGTGAACCATATCTCATATTATTTTCTGAAATAGGTGTACTTTAACAAATTTATTCACAAAGCGTGGGTAGTATCAGGGCACCAATGCAATTGTTTCAAACTCTGAAACTTTTTTCTTAATTTCCAGTCCATATATGTCAATATCTGTTGCTTCTTTCATATGGTATGTTGATGCAACTATTATCTTTCCAGATGTCCCAGCTTTTTTCACCCTCATTCATGTAAACAAATCCAATGTGGTTTTATGTTCCCTACTATGTCTGCTTGGTCTTCCTCCCTCTGAACCTGTGTATATATACAGAATATGTCCCACTGAAGATAGTGAACTTTATTTCCCACACAGATATTCATAGCATCTTCTGCTAGCATCAAAAATGATTGCATGCTTAACAATGATAATTTTAATATACTTGCGCAGTTTAATATTTTGAAACAGCAATTTAAAAAGTTATTTGAAACAGTTAAATAATGGATATATATTTTCTGGATATTAAGCATTGTGCTTTTGCTTAATTAAGGCAGATGTAACAGAGGAGATTTTCAGGGACTCAGTTATAATGTTTACAATTAAATGATGCACCGATTACTGAGAATTACAGGCTGCTGGAATAGTCCTGGCAGGGTCAAGATCTGTGATGGTGTGTAGCTACCTGAAATTCAAAAGGAAGCAGCTTTTTTTAGAATGGAGATAATGAAGATCAATGGCTCTTGTTGCATTCCTTGTTGCAAATACAACTAATTAGGGATTAAAAGGAAAACAGCAAGAAATCAGTTCAAGCCAAGAACCAGCTGGAAACCAGAAGTATGTGACTTTCAGAGAACTTTGTGAAGGGTGAGCAAGGACATTGGCACTACAATAAACTTTACTGCAGCTAGGCCAACATTGAAAAACACTCCAGAGAAAAATACCCAGGAGATATTCCCGCTAGTATCTTTATTTATTTATTTTAAAAAAATTGTTTTTATTTTTGCTGTTCCAGCACCGAATGCAGCTCTACACTCTACTTCTGCAGTATAAAAAATAATAATAATCACCTGTTGGATTTCTATGTGTCAGATACGCGAGGAGTAAAAAGGCACCAGTCAAACGGGGCAGAAAAAAAGAAACAGCAACCGAGCTTATGCGTTTGGGAGATGGAATCCAATTGAATCGCGACATTAATTTCCCCTGGATCTCCCAGGCTCCGCTCTTAGCCCCGGAACGAATCTAATGTATTCCTTGGAAAAATACAGGAGTTGTTGTTGTTGTTGTTTTTAGTATAAAAAAAGCTTGTTTTTCCTGGAGCAGCCTCACCCCCCCTCCCATCCCCTACCTAGGCGGGCGCGCGCGCAGAGGATAACCCAGAATAACCCCACGTATCTCAAGAAGTGGTCTCTAAACCACCATATGCCATAAACCACCATGTGGGTCGTGTGAAGCCGACAGACCACTACTACTGGGACGCTTTGACCATTCCCGCCTGGCTCGCTCGGTTAACGCCGGCATTTGTCTTGCAGCGACCGCCTTTGGTCGGCCTCCCTTTTTTTGCAAACACATCGAGCGATAAGAGGAATTCGGAGAGGAGAAGAAGAAGAAGAGGGATTTTTGCACACTCCTCCCGATAAATAAAATACCAAGCCCCTCGCCTCAAGGGGGCGGGGCTGGGACACCAAAGGGGCGGAGCTTTACCGCCACGCCTCCCCCGTGTGTCTCGCCTTCACATTTGGAGCTCATTCTCCTCCCCCCCCCCCCGCCTGCTACCCCCGCCACCCACAGCTTTGGTCTTCAATTAGCTGCCGACGGTGGAGCTGGGAAGGCGCGCGAGGCTGCGAGGATGGGGAGGAGCCATGTAAGCAAAACGTGCGGGGCTTATTTATTTTTCTTTAAAGGAATATTTAAAAAAAAAAAAATCCGCAAGCCGCTTCTCCTCTTCGGCTCTCAGGGTTGCGAGATAGCCGGGGGGGGGGGGGGGGGTGTCACCCACTCTTATGTGGGGCGCGAGGGAAATTAACCTGAGGTGGAATATTTCCACAGGCAGACAGACAGACAGACAGGCGCACGCGGGGAGCCGTCTGTCTGCGCACACGCGCCGAGTCTGTTTGTGTCACATATATATATATATATCTTTTTTTTTAAGGGAAAAGGTAGCTTAGGTTGCTTAGAGAATGGTGATGATTGCAGAACATCTGATTATGCAAGTTGGCCCATAACTATATACATACATACATACATATATACATACATACATACATATATATTACTGTAATGCTGAGACGAGAACTCTCTCTGCACACTCCCCTGTCCCCCCCCCAGGTTTAACCCCTTCGCCTCTGCAGTCAAACTGTTGCACGCGCGTCGAGGAAGCGGTTTTGGAAGGTTTTGTTAAGTTTTAAAGGACTCCCTCCTGATACAAGAGAATGCCCTGGAGGATTTTGTAAAATATGCGTAGTAGGGGAATTGGTCGTCGTCATCCTCATCATCCTCGTTCTCAGATTTTTTTCTTTTCATAGGGAAACTCAACCTCATTTGTGTAGTTCATGTTTTTTTTTAATGTTTCATAGACTGGAGAAGAACCACCCCCTCACCCGGAAAAAAAAATGCCCAAAGGCAGCCCGATTGAATAAAAGGGATGCTGAAAAAAAAAAAACACGCCTGCAGGGAGTCTTCTACTCTAGGGTGGGCAGGAGGGGTCTGAATTACTACCGGGCGGGGGGGCGGGGGGTGTCTCGGAGAAGGGACTTGGTGGTGCGGAGAAAAAGCTTTGTATTTCTGCGTAAGCTTTGGTTGCAGCCAGGAGCTGTGAAAAGATAACCTTTCTCTTCACTTAGTCTCTTAGCAGGGAAGGAAAAGACGCTAAAAGCGTCTCATCCCCCTTTTGAGAAACCTTTTGCTGTTATTTCTTTTTTTGGGGGGGGGGAATTAGGAAAGCAAAGCGAGAAAATCTGCCTATAAAAGACCCAGCTGCAGCTTGGATGGTGGTGGGGGGGAAAGGATGAGGAGGTTGTCTGTTTCTCTTTTCTATCTCCAGCCAGAATCTCCCCCCCCCCCCCGTTTTTTTCCCCTTCTTCTGGAGGAGGAGATAGGAAGAGAAGAGACAGATGTCTAGGTCTTTTTGGTTTGGGCGATCCTGCTCGACAGGCTGAAGTGATTACTGCAAGGGCAAGGCAAAAAGAACAGGGGGCCTGGGGTAGCTGAGCATTGCGGGTCAACCCAAAAGCGGGGAGCATTGTGTGTTTTGTCTCTTGGGAGGGACGGGGCTTTTGTTTCAGAAACCTCAACATCCCCCCCCCCCCCCCCCCGCTTCTTCTTTTTTTTTTTTAAGGGAAAAGGTAGCTTAGGTTGCTTAGAGAATGGTGATGATTGCAGAACATCTGATTATGCAAGTTGGCCCATAACTATATACAAGCAACTATATTCTGGCCACATAATCTGTAGTAGCCATAGCTTGCCTGTTCCTGAGGCTGCTGGTGAGGAAGATTGAGGTATCCTTGTAAGCAAGGGAATATTCCTCATTCCTGTGCCCCTCTGGCTCCCAAATATGGGCATATCCTAGCTGAAAAGGCCACTCAGATTGCCTAATTTGTTGGTTGTTGCTACTGCTGCTGTCTAACCCTGGCTTCCTGTAATACACTGCAGCCGGAACAAAGCTCTGTCACAACTGTGCTTCATGCTTGTCGCCTCCAGCCTGCAAGCAGCTGAATGTTTCCCTGGCTCGATATCAGGCAGAAAGGGATGGATGTGACACAATGAGAGATTCAGGTAATGCCATCAAAAATATGTTTGATATCTGTTGCTGTGTGAAAGCTGCTGTTGCTGGAACATTGTGCATGGCTACTTTGTTGAACTCTCTTTTCCATCTGTGGTTGAATAGCTTTTTTTTTCTTTTTCTTTTTAAGTGAGAGGTGCTGAGCCCTGGAGTTGATTTACACATAGATACAAAAGCAAATGAAACTGAAGTAGAAACTACTTGCTTGTTCTTTTTAAATCCCTCCTAAAGGAGGTAGATGTTCAGTCATTCAGAGAACAATGTGGGCTGCTATAATTTTCAAGGAAAATTTTTGAAGAATAATTTTTGAAATTATTTTAAAAATAATTTGGAGACAATAACTAAGAAAAAGCATCCTTTGTACCATGTTTCATCTGTTTATGACAACCAATTTTGGTTGGTTACTGCTTGGGGAAAAACACTGGTTTTAAAAAAACAGATTATTAGGAAAACAAGTTGCGAAAATGTTTGAAAACTTGTAAAAGATATGAAAGCAGTGGTATACAATTACTGAGGTTGTGGATGTGGAGAACATAAGCGATGTGTTTGATTAATATGTGGCAGGGGATAAATGTGTGTGTGTGTGTATGTGTATATATATATATATATGTATATAATATACACACACAGTTTTTTTCACACACAAGTTTGTTACCATTGAATCTACAAACCATGGTCCCTTATTTTGTCCTTGTCCTCTTTCAAAGTGACACTTCTGTGTAACAGAAATTTGGTCATTAAATAAAAAAAACAAAACAAAAAAGATACTCCATAAAATTTCCTTTTTTTCCTTCAAGTGCACCAGCTGTGTGTGTGTGTGTGTGTGTGTGTGTATGTATGTATGTATGTATGTATGTATGTATATAAAGTTTTTGCAGGTACTTACATATATGGTATTCAGCTTTGTTTGGTTATTTTCCCACGTCATTATAGTTATGCTTTTAAAGTTGTAGCAACGTTTTGGCAGAATCTCATCTGCCATCATCAGGCTTCTGTATTGAAAGAAAATGATGAACACAATACAGAAGCCTGATGATGGCAGATGAGATTCTGCTGAAACATTGATACAACTTTAAAAGCACAACTATAATGACGTGGAAAAATAACCGAACAAAGCTGAATATATATATAATTTATTTATTTAATATGCCGGTCTCTCCCCCCACCCTATTTTTAAACTCAGGCTGAGGTAAAAGCTTGCCCCAAAGAGATAATGAAAAATGACATACTACTTTGAGGGATTATGATGAAATCTGTCACTGATTTCATTTAAGTGATGAGCTTGTCATTGAGGATATGCATAGAGTGACTTTGTTTTGGTTTCTTTATTTATTATTGTGCAATGAGAACCTTTCTAGGAAGAGAATGTTTTGAAGACTATTATTAACTCTCTCTAAACCTGAACTAATATGAAACAAAAGAGCACCAAGAAGAAAAAAAAGAGGTGAGGAGAACTCCTGTCTTGTCCCTTCATTTACATTTTTTTTTTAAACTCAGGGGATTGCTCAGCTAAGTGGATAATTTGTAACAGCTGCTGCTTTTTCAAGGTGACATTTCTACAGCTGTCAAGTAAAACCAGGAGGGAGAAAACTTTGGGTACAATCTGTCAACCATTGCTCCTACTAGCTAGTTTTAAAATGCACCTAAGGAATCCTGGTGGTTCATTGGAAAATGACTTAAAATGGGAATTTATTTGGGTAATTATTGAGATTACTTGCTATGTAATCATAAAAATAAGAGTGAGAATTAGGCACGAGCCCCATATTTAGAAAAAAAAACAGTCTTAGAATGTTGTGAATGTTTGCAATTTTTTTTTTTGTACCAACAAAAATCAACAATTTGATTTAGATTTGTTGCGTCTGTGTTTCTGGGAACTCCTTTATTTGGAAGTTGTCCACAGGACTCTTTCATAAAATGTATTCATGTAATGTATAAACGGCTTGCTGATTTTAATGAAGTTAATACCTGATTTGTGCTTTGTCTTTAAGTCTTGTGCAGTTCTTCCATTTCAAGTTAATAAAATGAACTTTAATAGGATTAAAGGATATCAAGATAAATAACTTTTGTTTTTGTGAAAACTAAAATAAAACTTTAAAAAAAAAAAGATAAATAACTTAGTAAGCTCACTAAAGCTAATACAGATTAGGTTCTTGTCAATGCCTGGAAGAAAACAGGAAGAAACTTATTTCAGGATATACAGTACATGTGCAAGATTTAGTGAGGATATGTTTTCATATATTAAATTATGAAGTTTTGCATATAATGCTAAACCATGGCTTAGTTTCATGTGGATGCCATTACCATTCTTTTCCCTCTCTTTTTGTGGCGTGGCCAGAAAGCACTTAACACATGTAATCCTAAATGACATATAAGTTATTTAAAATGAAAAAGGATCTCACAGCTGAGGTTGAAAAAGCAGGAAAAAAGAGGCTTTTCAAACGCTGCTCATCTGCGCGTAGTGCTTTTCAGCTGTCTGGGAGGCTCAGCTGATGTTTTTTTTTTTACACACGTGCATGTAGCAAAATGTAGTCACCAAACCAGTAGTAACACCAGTTGAATCCCATCCCTTGGCAGTCCTCAATTTACAGCCATTTGTTTAGTGACTGAAGTTACAACAGCAGTGAAAAAAGGTGACATGAGTGTTTTTCACTTATACCTGTTGCAGCAACCCTGTGGCCATGTGATAAAAAAATCCGTTGCTTGGCAATTGGCAAATGTTCCGTCCTGGGGTCATGTGATCGACCGTCTTTTGTGGTCTTCTGACAAAGTCATTGGGAAAGCCAGATTCACTTAACAGCCATGTTATCAAAAGCTTCAGTCATTCACTTAACAACGGTGTCAAG